AACCGTGACACCAAAGTATCGAACCGAACCGAACCGTGAATTTTGTGTATCGTTGCACCCCTAATATATATATATATATATTGCTCTTTTATTTTGTACTGTTCTGTCTGCCTTAATAAACAGCTCATCATCAGTTAAGTTTGAGTTTTAGAGTGTCTGCACCCGGGTCCACTCTTCACAAACTGCGTGGAGTGTGAAGATGAACACGATGAACACAGGAACACCAGACCTCTTCAAAATAAAACAGGAAATGTAAGACACAGACATGAAACACGTGAAGTGCAAAGGAGACTTAACATGGGTGGAAGACGCAAGGGGAATCTAATAACAAAGCACTATAACAACCTAGGCATGATAAAAAATGAAGTTAGAAGGGCTTAAACATAAACTAAAACTCAAAACGCTGGGTCAAAAGACCCAGGATTGTGACAAAAAGGAGACTTGATGATTAATTCAATTCAATTTTATTTATACAGCGCCAAATCACAACAACAGTCACCGCAAGGCGCTTTGTATTGTAAGGTAGACGAGTAAGTACAACAAGGCACTCAAAAGAAGACTTTAGCAAAGAAAAGCTGGAACAGTCGGGAAGAAGTAGTACTGGGAGTCTCGGCATACAGCACAGAGAGAGCGGCAAAGGAAAAAGCTTATACTGAGTTGTATGTGAGGCTGGGCGCTACGTAAAGGCAAAAGGACTCATACTGACTGGACAGGGAACAGCGCGAGCTAGAAAGGATGTGCAGCACCTTCAGTTGATTAAGTCCAGAAACGTAAAGACAGTGTGAGGATGTAGAGTGGAAAGGTGGTTGATCCAGATGACATACCCCAGGGCAGAGAAAAAGAGGGCAGTGGACTTTTTCACCAGACTACTTAACACAATTTTGGAAAGTAAGTGGGTGATGAAGAAATGGAGAAGTGTGCTGGTACGGTTCAAGGACTGGGTCTATTTTGCAAAAACTACAGAGGGATAAAGCCAATGGACCAAACTATGAAACTATGAGAAAGAGCTGCTGAAGCTCGGTGACGAAGATTAGCAAGCATCAGTACGGCTTCACTGCAGAAAGATGTTCACTTAAAGAGAAAAAGTAGGGAAGGTCAACAGTCTTTCTGGATCTAAAGAAAGCCTTTGATAAGGTGCCAAGAGAGCCCAGTGGGACAGCAGTGCGGTGGTAGGAGTGACAGGTTCACAGTACAGGTGGGATTACATCAGGCGTCTGCTCCTATGTTTGAAGACTACATTCTGATCTGTGGTGAGAGTAGAAGCAGGTGGAAGTAGGTGGAGGTGGAGCCCAGAGAGGTGGAGGTATGCACTGGAGAGAAGAGGAACGAATGACAGTAAAACCAAGACAAATACACGCGGGTAGAAGGCGTAGAGATAGTACAGATAGAAGAGCCATCCACAGCAACAGACCGCACAAGAGAGGTGAAGCAGGGAGTGGATGCAGGTGGAGTCAGCAGAGGCAAAGTTCAAGGATGATCTGTGATGGTAGTGAGGCCTGCAATGATATGTGGTTTGGAGAGGCTGAGTTAAAGTTGTTTTCATTGGAAGTGACCAGGATGAAGAGCATAAGCTCAGTTTGAGCGGTTTGGAGATTAAGTTAGCGAGGCAAGGCTGAGATGGTTTGTGCAGAGGAGGGGAGTGGACGAAGGATGTTGAACATGGAGCTGACAGGCAGGAAGAAAAAAGGAGCCCAGAGAAAACAATCCTGGACCTAGTGGAGGAGGACAAGCACAGGGTGGGTATGGTGGTGAGCCGTAAAGGGAGCAGCCGAACGAAGACGACTGTGACGTCGTACGGATATACCAGTGACTAAAGATGTGCAGAGGCTTCTGTGTGCTCTGGAGTTTTCATGATGTGCAACAATGTCTGAAAACACAAAGACCAACTCTGCTGGCTCTAACACGTTTGTGGGACGTGTGCCCTGTTTCTCCCCTTTCCTGTGCTACTCCATGTTCTGCTCTGCAGCATCAAAATACCAGTCATTTGTAGTAATTCGATGTAAAAGTTAAATCGGGGAAGAACTACAGGACAGAACAACGTTTCGGCATGTATACATGGTCAAGCAAACCACCTGCACCAACTGCATACTTATTCTGATGAGTCCTGGTATTCCTAATGCTTTCCTGTTCTTAGAGGGACTATCACAGCCACATTACCAAAATGATTCTTTTGTCAGCACAAATAGCTTTGAATTGCCTGTTGCAAATCATGCCTGCATGACTCATTTAAATACTCCTTTTCTTCTAACTTCATGCTCTGAAAAGAACAGCACGTGTCTCTGACTTCCTGGAGCTGAATCTGGACAGTCGCGTTTAAATGCTAAAAGGACGTTTAGTGGTGTCAGAAACAATAAATTGGGCTCAAATGTTGTTGCTTCATGCTAGTTAAGGATAAAAGTCTTGATTCAATCCTTTCAGAGGCTGTGATGTCTGTGAAGGTTCATCCAGGTCATCCAAGCTCCTTAGACTTTGAGGCCATAAAACACACCATAAATGAGGCCCCTGTGATGCGTGGGATATAAAACAACACTCCACGTTGTAGAACTGTGTCCCTGCACAGTAGGTGTGTACCTCACATCTGCACACATCTTATCTGTCAGACATATCCCTGTGGTTAGCACCAACCTTCTGACTGGTTCAGTGTGGACGAGAGCAGCGTCTGTCATGACTTTCATCCAGGACTCCATCTCTTTGGCTGTGTCAGTGCAGAAGTAATATGTCCGCATGTTGGGGTGCGTGGCCTGAGTGAAGACAGAGGGAGAGCGGTAATAAGATAAAACAGAAGTGCGAGAACCAAATCTGGATCATGACTTCATCACAAGTATCACACTGAACTGCCCAACACACAACTTTCTATGTGTATGTACAAGTATACACACATCTATGTGAGAAAAACCAATTTTTTAATGTATTAGCATTTTGAACCATGAAATTCAGACACAGCCTCTCAACTAAAACTGACAGTAAAATGTTTGATATCAATCTGGTGTGGTCAAGTGTGTGCACGAGGCAGGACACGGGATCTGTTGGGGTATTTCTACAAATGGACGCCTCTTTCAGTCTCAAACCTCTGATCAAACCTTTGGGGTCAGTACATTAACCTCATCAAGGTGAAACTTTGAGACTTTCTACCTTTTTTACATCTATAACTTGCACACTGTGAACCCTGTGAATACCCTAACCCTACCCCACCCCATCCAATCACAGCAGATGGCCCTGCCCCTCCCTGAGCCTGGTTCTGCTGGAGGTTTCTTCCTGTTAAAAGGGAGTTTTTCCTCCCCACTGTTGCCAAAGTGCTTGCTCATAGGGGATTATATGATTGTTGGGTTTTCTCTCTATGTATTATTGCAGGGTCTACCTTACAATATAAAGCGCCTTGAGGCGACTGTTGTTGTGATTTGGTGCTATATAAATAAAACTGGATTGAATTGCTGTCACATGAAAATAAAAATCAATAAAAATGAAAAGTTAGTTACAAAGTAGCATGGATTGTTGCCATCAATAATAATAACAACATGACAAACCTTTAAAAAAATGTAACCAGTGTTTACCTTAAAGGCATATTTCCTGCTGATGTGGTCATCCACCGACAACATAGATATGTGAAAACTGGGCAACAGGATGCTTCCTAGGATGCTATCCTCTTTTTCATCTGCAGCAACAAAAGAGAAAAGTCTGCAGGTTGAAACATATTTATGGCAGCAACAATGGCGTGTCCAGCGGGGTGGCCTGGGGGGGCACAGGCCACCCCCCAAACCAGACTGGCCACCCCAGGTGCCACCCCAAAGGCAAAACAATAAAATTCAATCAAATATCAAATGTCCGATTATGTTTTCACGGTGAAGCTCAGATATCCGAGTGTAAGTGAATGCAGCATCGCTTCTGCGCTATGCGCATCACGTTAGCAAAGGTAGGAGAGCCAAGCGCGAAAGACGGCACCGCAGGAAACAATTTTTC